ATATTCCGAGTCAGTTGTAGCTAAGAAGAAAGAATAATGATAGTAAATGCGTAGCTCGGAAGTTGTTGAGGAAGGATTGTCACAAACTTCTCGTCCGTTCCTCGGCAGAATGCAATGAATTTGAGTGGGTGTTGCGCTGAAATCCAAATGTTGATCACGAAGAGAATCACCGAGAAAGCACGCATACTTGCCTGAAAAGCCAGGATGGGACACCCTCGCCCTATCTCCGACCACAGGGTCGGAACGGGCAGGAAACGGCAATTGGCTCGACTGGGTCAGAGTGAACGAGGGCTCCCAAGATACCTTGTTGCATGCGTTCCGGATGAATGATCGTCGTGGTACTCGAATAGACATTTTCCTCATTGCTGCATGAAGGGTCTTGGCTATGAATCGAAGCGCTGGAACACGGAAACTGATCAGGAAGGGAATTTTCATGAACACGTGCATACTTGCCTGCACAAGAAGGTTGGGAGACCCCGTCACCGATCTCAACATCAGGGTCAGAACGACTACGATGGCAGAAATCAGCAAACGCGACTGTGTTGAGTGGCTTAAGGGCTCCCATGATACGACAGGCAATGCGTTCTGGTTTGATGAATCTGGCGATGGTGCCCATATGCGACGTCGGAGATCCAGGAGAACGATGTGCACCATCCTCTGACGACAGCAGTTGGTGAAGGTGTTGGTATTCATAACGGGAGTCAGGAGCATAAAATACAGTGCTAGAACACGAAGAATTATGAGGCGGTGAAGTGGTACACAGGGGCGCATACTTGCCTGCAGAAGGATGTTGGAAACCCCCATTGCCAGACCACAGGACCAGAACGGCAGTGATGGCAGGAAATAGGAAGCAGGACTGAGTCGGGAGGATTAGGGGCTTCCATAGGGCGACAGGCAGTGCGTTCTGGTTTAGATGTCCTCAAATTCGTATCTAATTCGCATCCGGTGGTTTCAGCTCGTGGGGTTGATCCGAACCTTGACTCCTTATTCTGGTTATCCTGGTAACGTTTTTGTCCGGTCGTCACTGAACTCACGGAAATTTACGTTCTCAGGCCAAGAGTCAGCAGCTAGTGCCAAGTCCCGATGCATTTTATCAATGCCGATCTTAAATGTCACGAATCGAAGATTCGAGATATCCGCATTTTTTCGAACCAACTTCACTACCTTGAGTACTTCATCTTCGCGCAACGAAAGACACTCGCGTGCCAGTGTTGCGATGTCATCTTCTGTAGTGCTAGGTGCGAATGCAGACAAATACACCCACAGTAGGTCATCCTCGAGAGGCGCGTATCTGACAGAGTTAGAGGCAGTAGATTTCGTTCCTTTAATTGTGCTCGGTCTTTCAGTGGCAGTATCATCCGTTCGACGTCGCTTAGCCGAACCCGGTTTAAGATTGCCGTTCAGTTGCTTTTGCCATCGGTTCGGTTCAAGAGGAGTTAAAGGATCAGGTTGCTTGCTATCCACTTTCGTAGACAATTCCTTGACCGTGGAATTTAAAAACGCTATATCCTTTTTCATCCCGTTCAACGAATCCGTGATTCCCGCATAATTGCCATCATAATGGGTGACAATGTTGCGGAAATGTCCATTCGCAAATAAGTTAGCGCAGTCATCACACATCCAGAATACGTTCTTCTCATGCAAACCAAGTTGATCTTTGAACTCGTAATCCACTTCCACGCAAATAGCGTGAAAAACGTTCCCACAGTAGCCACGGCAGGTAATTAAATCCGAATTAGTCATCGTGTTCTGGCAGCGTGTGCAGACCATGATTACTGAGCTAGGGATACACATGCACATGCTTTTGTGCCGTTATCAAATGTTATGCCTGAATTGATCACTTTGTCAAGCAGTTTTGACATGACTTTCTACCAGCGATTTCACAAAACTGGACCAACTAATTTCTATTTTTTTATGAAACGCACAAATGTTGGCTACTTTTCTCGTGCTTCTAGAAGAAAAAAATTCAAAATAATGTTTTATTTCAAAGTTTGAGTGGTAGTAAACGTCATTTAACTGCTCGAATGAAGTGGTTAATTAACATTTAACAATTACCATTTAACATTTAACATATAACAAATTCTTATTAACAGTTTGTTTCCTGTAACATTTAATAAATGAAAAATTCCGGCTATATTTAAAATGTACTTAAACTTCTAGACGCCCAATCTACCGATGCTATTTATAACGAAAATATTCATATTCATTTAATAGAATACGACCGAAATCGCAGTTACCTAGGCAAACACCATTTAACTTCAATGGCACTACGACAGTCTTTTGCGTGCACGCGCGTGAGAACACTTCAAAGCGTGCTTTGACGCTATTGCTGACGCATCGCAACGCGTTTACTATGACAGGTGTAAGCGTTTCACCAAGCATAGACGGAGACGCACACGCGCACGCTTCGCTAAACGCGTTACTATGTCATCGGTCTAACGGATTTGGTTGAAATTTTCAAATGCAAAATGCTCATCTACATTCGAATGCGAATGTCTCAATAAGACTAACTGGATTCATTATGCAGTCTTAAGCAAATTTGTTAAATTGTTTGAACTACATTTTTTGAAAATCTGAATCAAATCGAGCATAAGGATTCTCTTTTATTCGTGTTCTTCTTTTTCTTCGCATTTCAAGCTTATTTCTTATCGCATATTAGCTTATTGCGTGCTCTCAACTGAGTGTTCTAGATACACTTCCATAGTAATTAATTGAGAGATTTCGATGAGTGATTGCCTCTCACTCCTAAAGGCCTGGGTTCAATCTCAGTCGGCGCCGCCGTAAAGCTTTACACTGTTGGTAACCCGACACCAAATTCGCGGTGAAAGCAAGGCGAAAGGCTCTTGGTGCGGTCAAACGTCTACCATCAGAAGGCAGCAATCAAACATTATTGTGTGAAAAGGAATGAATGTAGACAGATAATTCGCCGTCAAAGCAAGAATCGTGGGAATCCTGCCTCGACGGCATCAATTCCAATCAGAGCCATGCTGAAAGCTGGGCGAGAGTGAACGCACTGAATGGCCAGAGAAGATCCGTGGGCATCATTATTCAAAACGGGTTTAATGTTTTGATTTCACTATGTTGATGCATCTAGGTTCCATTTCCTGAATGATTTTACGATATTAGATGAGTGACCAACATACCGGCACTGTGGCCAAACCTGACTTCATTCGGCATCGATTCCTTGTGGCCAATCGCGTCAAAATCGGTTCTATATAGTTGGAAGCACAAAATTGATTACGAAAATCTTGTCAAAATTTAGTATGAAATCTGGGTTTCTATGACCCGTTAACACCTTATTCGTCACAAAATGTTAACACCCAAAGAAGGTTAACAACCGATTATGCAAAATTTCATGCAAATCGGAGATGGTCGTTTTTTTTTTGATTCGTCATTTGGCGTGGAACTTAACTATCATGATTTCGCGGGTGTTCTGTACCTTGCACACCTTAAACTGTAAGCGAATTTCAAAGTGAGTTTGACGTTTTTTTTTCCGTCGTCGTCATCGTGTGCATAAAAATCTAAACAATTAAAAAACGTTTGAGTTGTGTCAGTGTTGTGCGAAATTGACGACATCGGCGTCAAAAAATATACATCGCGTTTAGGCGGAAAGCCAAATCATAGGAACAGGCGTTAAACACTTATGCAAATTCATTTACATTGATAAATTGAAGAACAAATACGCTCCAACTATACCAAGATCACATTGAATTGGAAATTCTTTCAAATTGCGAATTTGTCATATTTCGTCATGGTTTGTACAGTGCTTATATGTATTGGCAATTCAGTCACACAGCACTGCCATGAGCCCGATGACGATGACGTCAACATTAGCTTCTTCTTGATTCGTTCGTATTTAACGTCGGTCTCTGTTTCGAAATCTGGTGCCATTCACCAACGGACATCGATTGTCATTGACGGCAATCGAATGGCCAGGCCAGGGAGGCGGGGGCGGTGGAAAGAAGACGGAGCCAGAGATGTTTTCGCCTCAGAAAAATTGCAACGACCTCGGCTGGGATTGAACCCAGACACACTGGGGCGAGAAAGTAGTCACGCTTACCACCACAGCACCGGTGCCGTCAAATCAATATTAGCAGCAGCAGCAATGACGCGCAATTTGTTATTGCGCCTTTGATCATTAATTTTTGTGTCTTCGGTTTACCACATGGTTCCTTTTCATAATTATAGAGATGCGTAGCTTGGTAATTGATGTACAGATTTCGCTCATCGTAATAGGGTAGAGCGCTACTTCGTCGTAATCGCCCATTTCCATTCGATCGAGGTTATCAATAATATCAATGGTTTCACCTTACACAAGTCGATAATACGCTGCCTTCATCCGTATGATGGAGAAAATCCAGCATCAAAAACATCAGGTCCCTGATTTGAATGGAATTGAAATTCGTACGACGAATTTGGAATCAACAAAATCTAAACAATTTCTGATTATTTATCAAATACCTCTTCGATGCAATCGGTGCAAATATTTACATTATTTGACAAACCTCAGGTAATCATGACAGCGGTAGGTCTTTTTTCTTCAATCAAATTGTCATGATTACACGGGTAAACATTTGCATTGCTTGCACCAAAGAATGGAATGGGATTTACTCGTCATCTACAGCGGAATCATTCCATTATTTGTTCAAATCCGGATGGGACGAACATTAGAACAAAAACCCTACCTATGTTAAACAATTGCTCATCTCAGTGCATGAATGCAATCGCATAAAATCGCCAAGTGAGGTAAACTGCGGAATCACGTTGTTGGCGCAGATGAGTTGTTGTTACGCTGCACAGCCATTCTCGGCCCGTTGGTCACCGCAGCAGATGTTTACCGTGGGTAAATGCGTGCACTTCTAACGCCAACCCAATCGAGTGTTAGCACATATTAGGGTAGTCATTCTTATTCTTCGTTAAGCCCCATGGCGGAAGCATCTAACGGGATCAACCCTATCCCCACCACCACGATCAAGTGTAGCTCAAGTTGAAGTGCTTTTGATAATGTTTGCCAAAGAGGATTGGTTCGGAAAGATCTAAAGTTTGCGTTCTAATAATCCATCAGTTGTTTTCCAGTCGCGAGCAAGTATAGTTCATTAGAGAGGCTTAAGGATGAGCGATGGAAACAGTTCGAAGATTGCAAAGTTTTACCGGGGGTCCACGGTTCTGATTACCGGGGCCAGTGGCTTTCTCGGTCAGGTTCTGCTGGAGAAGATACTCCGTTCGTTGGATGTGGGAAAGGTGTACGTTATGATACGTGCCAAACGGAATTCCAGTGCCGCAGAGCGACTGCAACGGATGATGGAAGGGATACTGTTTGAAAAAGTGTGGCAAGATCCGGTTAGATCGAAGGAAGTGAAGGGTAAAGTGATTCCGGTGGAGATCGATTTGGATAGTGAGAATAATTTGGTCTCGGAAGAAATGAAAGTGCGACTGCTGGAAGAAGTCGATGTGGTGTTCAACCTGTTGGCTTCGATCAACTTCAACGAACCGGTGGACTGTGCGCTGCGTACGAACGTGGAATATACCGACCGTTTTCTCGGGCTTGTGAGTCAGATGAAGCGACTCAAAGTGGTAGTGCATGTATCAACGTTTTTCTCCAATTGTGACAAAAATATGATCGAAGAACGTATCTACGACGATATCGGATTCGGCGGATATGCCAACGTCATGAATATTGTGTCCAAGTTAAGTGATTCGGAAAGGCAGACTATGGAGCCTCTACTGATCGGAGACTTCCCGAATACGTACACGTTCAGCAAAAAATGTGCCGAAGTGATGGTGCGGGAAAAATACGGTTCGTTACCGATTGGAATCTTTCGACCCCCGATCGGTTAGTCATCCTATTCTGCTCTTCTTTTGTCGTACATTACAACCTATCATCCGTTTCTTGCAGTGAGTTCTACGTATCAGGAACCTATCGCAGGTTGGATCGACAACTTCAACGGCCCTTCCGGTCTGGTGGTGATGCTTTCGGAGGGCCTCTACAGTGCCGCTCTAGTTGATACCCGTAAACGACCGTATCTTGTACCGGTAGATTATTGCGTGAACGCTCTGCTCATCTGCGCCGTCGATATCTGCAAACAGCGCTCCTTGCGCTCGGACATCCCCGTATACAACTACACGAACCCGGATCAGATATTCACCTGGGAGCGAATCATCGAGCGGTTCTACGAAGGACTCAATCCGTACAAGCGACTCTTGGCGTAAGTCTAGCCGCCGCTCAACTTTAACAACTTTAAAATATCCAAACAATTTATGAAATTTCAGCACGCTTCTGACGGCCACCGTGACGCGAAATCCCGTACGGTATGCCGTGTGCAAAACGGTCATGCGAGTGGAAGGCTACATCCTGGATCTGCTGAGACACCTGCGTGGGCAAGATCCGGCCATGGGGAAAATTTTCGAAAGGATGATCAGTCAGAGTGATGTCCTCAAATTCTTCACCTTCCACGAATGGACCATGCAAAACGAGAACATGCAACGGGTGTGGAACGATGAAGTAACGGAGCAGGATGCGCAGGTATTCCCACTTGATTTGACCAAAGTCGACTGGGATGATTACTACAGGAATTTCGTTCCCGGAGTGGTCAAGTATGCCATCGAGCCCAGGAAGGCGAAGGATGCCGGGAAGCTGACGAACGGGAAGGTCGAGTGTAAGCGCTCGCTGTATGCAATTTGGAGTTTTCTGTTTCAAAGTTTGTTGAATTTGTTGAAGAATTTTATGGGACATTAGGTTTGTAAATATCGAAAAGAAGAATGTAAAGGTAATGAAAATATACGCCACTTGGATACTTTGTTATAATGAGGTTAATGGATTTGTTCTTTTCACAGTCCCAAAATGCATGCTCAGGTACTTGGTTCTTTATCAGTAGGTAAGATAGAAGAAAAATTAACTTACGAACCCACAATCTAAATTGTTTATTTCCGTTTGATGTACAACTTTGTTTTTAATTTTACTAAAATTTCCTTAGATCTCTGGCTACTATCATCATTATCTAAAAACCAGTTTAGAATACTGTATGTATGTATGTAAGGTAGCCACCATCCCTTCGAAGATCTTGTCTTGTATGCAGCTCCACTTAATAGCAAGATCAATTTGAGCTACCGATCTGAATTCACAATATCGCTGTATGAAGGGCCAAAAACGGTGGGGTGGACCCGTAAGCAGAGGCACTTACGCGAAATCCACGGGAATTTAAGAATCTCCTTCCAACGATACGATCCAACAAATCGAATAACGCAATTCGCAATACTTATTAAGCTTCCTACAGGATGGTTTGTTAAGAAGGGCGCGTCAATCTCCATGAAACTGTTGGAGTAGAATTCACACCATCACAATCGAATCGGTAGGATAAAGAAAATGATAGTGTTTATTCCCTCCTAGACTCCGGTTGTCATACCACTCCAATCGTCCAGTTCCAGGTCAAATGATACCCTGATGCTCCCTCCCAACCCAGTATTTATTTATATATATATAGTAAACATATGTAATGGAGAAATGAAATATATCAGAACATTAAAATACGTAATAATGAAAATACATTTATATGGATAAAAAAAACTGGTAGGGCCTGCCCCAAGGCTCATGTCTCAGCCCTCTTCTTTATAACTTTTATGTCAAAGATATCGACAACTGTTTGGCAGAACAATGCACGCTTAGACAACTTGCAGATGACGGTGTGGTTTCCGTAAGAGGTCCACATGCCGTGGACTTGCAAGGACCATTGCAAAGTTCCTTAGATAACTTGTCGTCTTGGGCTAGGAATCTAGGGATCGATTTCTCGCCGCAGAAAACTGAACTGGTAGTGTTTACTCGAAAGCGGTACCCAGCCCAAATGCAGCTTAATCTTTTGGGCAGAAACATTACCCAATCATTGTCTTTCAAGTACCTTGGGGTCTGGTTTGATTCAAAGTGCACTTGGAATGCCCATATTACGTATTTGAAGCAAAAATGTCAGCAGAGGATCAACTTTCTCCGTTCAATTTGCGGCACATGGTGGGGTTCTCATCCGGGAGATCTCATAACGCTTTATAAAACAACTATTCTCTCTGTTCTAGAGTACGGCTCTTTCTGCTTTCTCTCGGCAAGAAAATGTCACCTAATAAAATTGGAACGAATTCAATATCGTTGTCTGCGTATTGCTCTTGGCTGTATGCACTCAACGCATAACATGAGTCTCGAGGTTCTGGCAGGAGTAACACCCCTCCAGAACCGTTTCTGGGAGCTCTCTCTCAGAAAACTAATCAAATGCGGAGTGACAAACACACTTATAATTGCAAATTTTGAAGAAATTCTTGGGCTGAACACACAATCTCGATTTATGAGAATCTACCACCACTACATATCATCAGATATGTGTCTTCCTTGTTATACTCCAGACCGTGTTCACTTCACCAATCGCAGTTCCTCAATTGAATATGATCTGACCATGAAACAAGCAACTCATGGGATTCCCGATCAACTTCGACCTATTATTATCCCGCGTATTTTTACTGAAAAGTACCAACACGTCAATTGCGTGAAAAGATATTTTACAGACGGGTCACGTCTCAATGGATCCACTGGCTTCGGTGTCTTCAATGAAAACTCTAGCGCCTTCCGCAAACTCCAGGAACCTTGTTCCGTTTTTGTTGCTGAGCTGGCAGCAATCAACTTCGCATTGGGGATGATTTCCAATATGCCCACAGACCATTACTTCATCTTCTCGGATAGTCTCAGTTCGATTGAGGCTATTCGGTCGATGAAACAAGGTAGGCACTCATCTTATTTCCTTTCAAAGGTAAGGGAGCAGATGAGTGTACTGGTCGAAAGATCATATATGATTACCTTTGTATGGGTCCCCTCACATTGCTCAATCCCAGGCAATGAGAAGGCGGACTCTCTCGCAAAGGTGGGCGCGCAGGAAGGCGAATTTTATGACAGGCAAATTTCACACGATGAATTTTACCATTTAGTGCGTCAGAGTACCCTTTCGAGTTGGCAAACCGATTGGGACAATGGAAATCTTGGACGGTGGTTACATTCAATTATTCCTAATGTTTCTTCGAGAGCGTGGTTTAAAGGCTTGGACTTAAGTCGTGACTTCATTCGCGTGATGAGTAGACTTATGTCCAACCACTACTCGCTAGATGCTCATCTCAATAGAATAAACCTCGTGGACAGCAACATCTGTCGGTGTGGAAACGGTTACGATGACATCGATCATGCAGTTTGGCAATGTACGGATAATTACGCCGCCAGAGAGCGACTTTTGAATACCCTTGAGGCCCAAGGAAGACAACCCTATGTTCCTATCAGAGACGTGTTGGGAACTCGCGATATCTGCTATATGCAGTCGGTTTATGTATTTCTTCAAATGTCTAGTATAAGAATTTAATTCCTTTGTCTTTTGTCTCTCTTTATTAGTTTTTGTTTGTCTTGTCCCCCCGTCTCGATGAGTCTCATCGTCACCCACTGGTCACCCACCATAGCCGGTCGAACTCCAGACGAAACTAGAACCGCACAACCATTCATACTGGCGACAACGCTCTGATGAGACAACGAAACCTTACCCCCAAGCTCCTCCCCTGATCCTATCCTTCGACAATGTACCTCTCTAACCTCGAGTAAGCCGCGAGTATTCGGCCCAACTCCTACTAGACATAGAATTAAGTGAATTTTGTTACAAACAAAGAACAATGAACTATCGGCTCCGTAAAGCTAACGCGATTGAGCCTTCCAAATAAACATACTGGTTAAAAAAAAAAAAAAAAAAACTGGTATTCCGCAATGAAAATAATAATTATTTTACATACAATATGATGCTGCTCTATGTCTCCTCAGCTCCCAATAAGGAAGATGTAACCCTGAAATTTCCAGGTTATATTATGCAAATAAATATTTTTAGCTAGAATGATACTTGATATGTTTGTGTTGTGTTATGTTGTGGGAGAGCTTGGGATTAAACCCATGATGTTCTGCTCATTAAGCAAAACCGATCCCTCTAAGGTTATCGAGCATCTCAAAACCAAAACACTAGATGGCAAAACATGATTAAGCCCTCACCTGGTATGTAATGAACAACAGAAATACGCGATAATTCATATATTTTCAGCATATGATGCAATATCACAACTGTTGATAAAAGGAACGGATCCCATCTTATTTAAGACCTGGATGACCTGAAATGTGTGTAACCGGGTTAATACTTATTTAAATGTAATGTAATATTGAAAATGCGTTATAATGCCATGTAACAAGATACAATAAACACAAGATTTTTCCAAAACAGATAATGAACGATTCAGATTTCTTTTCAAGCTGACACTATGCTTTCCTGGAGCCGCTCATAATAGCTAACATTAAGAATTAAGTATAATAAAATGTAATTTACAATAATATTAAATGATGTAAAGTCAATAATGAAAGAGATGTAGTACTATAAACACTATACAAATAGGATAACCAATAGCTAGCTTAGCTTAGATTGACTGCACTCCGTGATTGATCAGAATCAGTGAAATTGTACAATGAATCAACTGAATGGGGCTGGGAGTGACCGTCCATTCTCATTGTACAAGTTTCAGTGACTCTATATGTTGTAGATCAATAACGGCGCCGGCCACGTCCTTGCAATCAGGTGGGAGTAGGGAAGGAATATTAGAGTGACCTTTGTTGTTTGTGGGCCGTGTTTACCTCTGCACCCCAACAAAAGACACAGAAAAGGAGATTTTGTTAGTAAGTTGGGTTCGTTGGATCAGGATTCACCTTGATAAGTGATGCGACCATGGTTTTAAATGAATCAGTGTTATCATGCATTATACTTGGATTTGCCCGAAGCCAGAACCAAATGGTGTATCATTGGGCCTTATTACGGGTGTCACTACACGGTGATAAGAAAGTGATACTCAGAATAAGAGCCGTGATTACCGTACAAATCAAATGGGAATCACTTCTCCGTGACGACAAGTGACAACTTTTCACCGTGATGTGACATCCGTAATAAGCCCCATTATAATATAAATCTGAAGACGTTCCATCATCGAAATGCTGAAAATGAACTTAGAGCATGAGCATGAGCAAAATTGATCGCCCGCGACTGCCAACACCAAAGAGCTGAAAACCAATTCAAACAAATCAAATCAACAGACAAAACCAGGGTGAAAGCTGTAAGAGTGAATCATTACAGTATAAATCTAGTGATGTTCCGTCATCAAAGAGCTGGAAGAAAACTGAAATAATTTAAATCAATAGATCCAGTCTGAATGAAGGCTGCAAAAAGAGAATAATTATACAGCAATGACCCCATTTTGTCAGCTAGCAAAGTATGTGTATCTTAAACATTCATCTTGAAGGAGGAAGGTATGAAATTACAATTATGTGGAATTATTGAAAAATAACAGTCTGATGCGCGGAGAGATTGACAGGATCGGGTCATAACTGTAATGTGAATATTAGGAAGATTTATCATCATCAAACTATTCTTGAATTGACCTGCAAGAATGCTTGTGAATAATTTTTATACAGATATATTAAATTGATAAACTAAATGGTTCAAACAACAACTCCAGCCTGTAAAAAAGCTGAAAATAGGGAATCTTTACAATGTGGATCCCCGACTCAGTAAGCAAAAGCGGCAGCCACCAGGCTAGTCGATCTGCTCAATTTAAATATTGAAACCTTATTTTGTGAAGTTGTTAAGAATACCAATTGAAACACAATGTAAACAAATAAAAGTTAAGAGTCTCATCCGAATCAAATGATTCCAAACGATACGCATTCATAAGTGGACCCTACACGATTACTTTTA